AACACTCTTATCAGGGTTCACTAAGCTATAGGGAGAATCCACACTGAAATAGCTATAGAGGTATTACCAGAAAATGAGTACTTAGAAGCTCAACAACAGCCTTTATATTCCTTTACATCTCCCATTGAACTATTCTTTACATGATACAATATGAAAATGTCATGCTGATAATGTAGCTCTATGAATGAACATGAACATTTTAGGTCTCATATACATACCTATTTTAGGCCTCGCATATACCTATTTTTCAGTGCTAGAGATTCACAGGAGGTCTATAAAAACAAAAATCTTACAGCAACAGTGCTCTTTGGCTCATACTGCTAACCCTATTTAACTGATGTGATTAACTGAGGCAGAAAGATATTGAACTTTTTGTCCAAGGTCACACAGTGAGGTCAGGAATGGAGCTAAAGCAGACTCCAGCTCTTTCAGTTCACTGCTTTGTTTTAAATCATCTAATCTCCCTTTCAGCTCTTTAATGCCAAAGAACAATTACTTGATACGCTGTTACACTTAAAGGTGAATCCCCAGTGTAAAAAGAATGCAGGTTAGGATTTAAAGCAAGTGTATGAAAATCCCCTTCCAGTCCACAGAAATATTGCAGCACATCCCATCACTTTAATAATATCACGCAACAGAAGGGACTTGAGTCATGTTTAGTGTACTGCCAGTTCCAAGTAAAAGCTCTTAGGAATACTAGAATTTATACAGTCAGCCAGGAACATGTAGCTGATATGACTCTTGGAATAATGTATTATAACCAACTTTTAAATTTGCATATGAACAAAGTTAAAAAAAAAAAACCCAAACAAACAAAAAAACCCACCTTAATTTCTACAGCATTTTTCAAGTGTTTCATGAATACTAAATAATCATCTTGACAACTCTACAACAAAATGGTACCAAGCAGTTATTTCAATATAGAAGCTTCACAAAGATGTGAAAACTAAAGCTGTAGCTTCCGAATTAAGTAATAACAAAAAGCCTCTAACTGCTCCAGAGGCCAAAAATATACAAACATTAGTGAAATGAAATATCAGTGCCAGCAAACTCAAGCAGTGACAGGACTCCCTAGCCATCTTCCCCTTGTTCCCAGATTTTCCATTACAGTTTTTACATCATGGTCCATATTAAAGAAAGCCAAATCAGTGCAGAATAGGTTACTTTCTTTTTCTTCCTTACTGAACTTAAACAAAACGGCTTTCTTCATAATGCACACTGTGCTGGATTTATCCCTACCTCTCCAAGCATTTTCATTTCTTTACAACGAAGGAGAAACACAACTTCATTTCTGTCAGACTTTGGTCCAGTTAGTAACTTTTACTTCCAAGTAATGGTGTGTACTGAAAGTTCAAAAAACATGTGTTCTGTACGAATCAGATTTAATGAACTTTTTAAGTTCTCTTCCTAGCTTTCTAGAACAGCTACCTCTTTGCAAAGGTGCAACTGTGCAAAAAGAAAAATCTTTTTTCTTTTTTTTTCTTTCAATTTTTTTTTCCTTTCTTTTCAACTGCACCAGTAAAAGCAGCATGAAATAGCACCCAGCAAAAAATGTGTAATTTAAGAACCTGCATAGCAAGATTTGATAGCGTATTTTAAAAAAAAGGCTTAAATGATTCAGACACATCCCAAAAATCAGAGGGACCTGAAGTCATTTCATAAACCTAATTCTTATTTGTAATTTAAATATCTGAACAAAAGTTCTCAGCTGCTCATAGGATGTCAGCATTTCAAACCTTATAATTTTGTGTGCATAGCAAAGTCTGAGGATGCCTCCTCACCGAAAAGCTGCAGTCTTGTGTGACATTCAGAGACCTTTTTAAACAGTTCTCATTAACATTGCCAAGAAACATTTTCAAGATGGGCATCAGTATGACTGCTGGCCTTTTATAGGGGTGCTGCAAAAATAAGCAAAAAGTAAACAGCTGTTTATTACAGCAGATGTGGAGAGAATCTTCCACTTCCAAGGCCCACATATTAGCCACAGAGGCCAGCCAGGACAGAGAGGAAGAGGCACAGAGGGACACCAAGAGCAAGGCATACAAGGAGCCTGGGACCTGACTAGAGAGTGCAACTGGAAGACAAGAACAAGCATCACAACTGGACTACAGAAAGGCCTGAGGTGAGACCACCAATGACACAGAAGAGTCAGCTGCATTCCAGGAGCTGAAGCCACGTGTGATTAAAGAGGCTGACAGCTCACCAAGAGTACAGTGAGCCAGGCAGACATAGTAGAAAGGTGCCGGCGCACAAGAAGGATGCAAGGAGCAGCAAGATCTGCAGAAAGGCATATATCCTACTGCATGTACTATTTACTGGGGACAAGTGTTCCACAAGCCAGTAGTCTGCCACACTGAGCCCTTCAATCAGATCACAGTAATTTTGGGATTGAGCACATTCAGCGCATCTCCTTCCAGAGAAATCTATATCCCACCACCTGCTTTCCAGATTTGATAGGGCTCTTCACACGACTACAAAGAGGCTAAATCCAGGTTTTTGTTTAGTTGCCTTACCTACTGCCACAGAGAAGGTTTCAATAAAGTATTTATAAGCTGGTTTATAATGAAGGGGATTTTTGGCAGAGAGCTTTACTGACCTGCAGTGCTAATAAACTATTACCTGCTTCTAGAAAATAGCCAAGAGTTCCAGTTCATTTTTAGCATTATACACTTGTTATAAATTGTTATCTTACTGAAGTCTAATCCTCAAAATAGAAGAATTCAAATTCTTTCTTCAGCCCTAAACATTCTGCAAAACCAAGAACAGACTGAAAGGGCTGTTAACATTCACACCAAGTTTAGATATCTGATGTCCCACAAAGTAATTATTATATTTGTTATGTATTTAAGATATAATTAACAGTGTAGGTGATTGGCAAAGATTCATTATATAAGTCAAATTCCAACACCTTTACTCACTTTAAATGGCACTTTGCCTTGAAAGCAATGACAGTGATTTCAATGGCAGACAAGGTACTCTTTTACAGGAACCAAAGTGACCCAAATGGTTCCATTTTTGTAGTGAACTTGTCCTGTGTTTATGAACAGATTGCACACACTTCAGGATCTAGCATATGTAAACAGACAAGTTATAAAGAGATCCAGATCTCTTAACAACAATAATGCATTATTTGCATAACACTTAGATTTTCCTTAACCGCTAGACTATCAGTCAAGTCCAAATTATCTTCATGGTTTGCATATAACCTCTTTCGGTAATGAAACTGCTATTATGGTTTCTGCTACTCCTATTTTAGACAAATATTGTAACCACAAAGCACAGCTGTGAGCCTCTCTGACAATTCCAGCTAGGAATGACAAAAGCCAATATACCTTAGCCCCTTTATCTTTGGGGACAAGCTACAAACACTATCTGAAGAGACAGATTAATTTCAGGCAATGATTAGTCTTGAAAGCACCTGCACTTACTGTACATAGGCTTCATGTGCTTGGAGACTCAATTAATTTGTAATTTTTACAGAAAACAGTGCACAGAAATATAACACAGTTGCCTGCCTTCCAAACATACCATTAGTGAAACTGCTCTGAAGTCAGTGTTCAAAACTTACAGCCTGTGCTTCCACTAGAAGCAGGCAGGCGGGTAGGTACTCATTTTCACTTCACAAGTCAGACATTAAACCATTACCAGGGAAACACAAACAGCATCACTAGGTCACTGAGGAGCAAGAGATCTGGGAGACAGGAAATTAGTTCCTGCCTTTGTGGTTTTCTTCTGTTACCCAGAAAAGCCATCAGTTTATACATCCCTCAGTTTCTCAGCTTATTGACTGCTGTTTACACATATTGTACAGTTATTACAGTTTTTCATGTGAGTAAGGAAAACCAATGAAATTCCCCTTATATAGGAACAACTGTCTTTCATAAGCAAAAGCCACTGTGATGTTTGCAAACATACGTTGATTTTAATGTATCAGGTATTAAACAAGCAGACACATGAAAAGGATGTAATAGGTCCAGATAAAATGACTGCATCTTTGAATATATAAAGACCAGTAACCTTAAACTTGGAATTTGAAACAAAACGGAAATCACTACATTGTGTACATTACTACTCATATACCAACCTACAGTTAAAACTAAGTCAGATAAATGGCTTATGCTCAGTTTACAAGATGCTAACTCAGTAGAGAAATATCTGAATGTTACTAAACAGAAGAGGCAAAAAAGGTTTGGATAAGGCCTTTAACCCGTGCTTTCTATAACGAAAACTCTGGATCCGAAGAAAAACACATCCTGAATAACTTGTTCTCCCCCTCAAACATTCATCTGTGTGATTATTTTCCAAGAAGACTGGTGACTTTCCACAAGTCTGCAACTAAAACATTAAATCATAACAAGAAAAACATAAAAACCCTGACTTCATTGCCTGCATCTCACCTTTCACCTCATTGTTCTTGCGTGTAGAGCATCCTTCACTGCTTAACAGAAATCTGCAAACTTTTTGAGACAGCACTTACGCTTGTCTTCAAATTGCATACAGTATTACACATACATAATTATACACCTCAAGAAATGAAAAACAAAAGCTAGAAGAAAAGAGGTATGAGAACTTTGATACAATGTTTTGTTTGCGTCCTTCTGAAAATCAAAGCAACCTATTCTTTCAATATCATCCTAGGAGAATGACAGACTGCAGTGAATTAACATGTGATCACAAGCAAGAACTGTTCATTCCAGGGCTCTGAAGCCTTCCATTATTATATTTGTGAATCTTTAACAGAGATTTTTTCCTAGATAGCTTTCCTTTCACATAAATGCCATCACAGTATTTTATCATTTGGTTTAGGTAAGATCAGAAAGGTTGTTAAAGGATTTGCAAATTGGTCCAGCAAGGCCAGCGTTTGACCTCTGTAATAAGGTAATGCTGACACGTTTCTAATGAATGCAGCAGGCATGTGGCAGCCATACCACACTTTGACATTTTAATTCACTTAGGACATACATTTTTATGCTTTATTTATCACTCAAGAAAGTACTTACAGGGTCAGAAGGACCACAGAAGTCTCTGAACACTTTTGAAGGATTGAATTGTCTAATCTCCATTGCTATGCAAGGGCCTGAACACAACTCTGAAACCATCTCCTGGAAGAGAAAGAAGACAGAAAAAAAGTTGAACTCTGGGTTTCAGCAAGGGTTGTATTTCTCCTCAAAACAAGGCCCAAACTTACAGGACAGGAACAATTAAGAAATACGCATTTAGGGAAGTGAGGACACTAAACAAATACCATTAGTATTCATCACAAAAGAAATGTTTTCCATTTTGCTACTTGGTTTTGAAGGTGAAAATTGAGGAAAAATTGGATATTCAGCTTCAACAGGTTTCTGAATAGCATATAACAGCACCCATAATACTTTAAATTCTTTCATAGGTACATCCTTATTGATCTGGACCTAGATTCCTTTGCAGTATCTCATAACTTGTCAAACTAGACTGAATCACTGGAATGAACTTTGCTGGGTTTTAAGCCTGAAAAATCACACTATGTTCAGCCAGTTCCACAGGCAGGAATGTACTTTGCAGTATTCCCTACCAGAAGCACAGTATACAGCCTATATCTGTTTTCAAATATACACTCTTTTGATGGCTTTAAGGCATTAAAATGTCTCCTGGGATTTTGGTTCTGTCTGTCTTTTCCTCACAGATTACTGCAGAAGCTGAAACACACAACCCAACAGAATCTGTGCCTGTGGTACAACCTGTTAAGGAAAGGGTCTGGCAACATTCTTGTGATGTACTAATATCAGGATCTCAGTTACAGTGAAATCATCTGTTTCCCTGGAGTCTTCAGGAAAGTAAAGAGACATCGTGAGTTCTGTGTGGGTGATGAAGATGGGTCTTAGTTCTCATAAACTTAAATTATCTCTGGGCATTAGTGCCAATTTGGAGTTTGTTAATTAGAGGTATAGGTTTCACAAGCAGAAAGAACTTATTTTGATGTTCTAGTCTGACTTCCTTTTTTAAATCATGCCCTTATAATTGCATACTTGTCTAGAAATCTGGACAGACAAGTTTTAAACAAATCAAGACAATTAAAGGAATCAAAACGAACGAGGAAAAACGAAAGGACAAAACATGCACAGAAAGTAAGGGAAGATAGGTAAGGACTAACAAGGTTCTGCAATCATGCCCACCAGCCAAGGCAGATCAAAGATGAACCATGGAAAAGCATACAGAGTGGATGAAAGAGCAGAAGGAAAACAAGAACTAAGTCCTTCTCTTCCTTGTATGATTTGTGACAGAAAATAAATACACAATGACTCGAGTCAAGCAGCAATGTTCCAAAAGCTGCTGTCTCATACTGGATTCCACACTGAGAACGTGTGCCTAAGCTCCCCTCTCTGAATTTTATCCAGTGCCTCTATCATCAACAGGATCCTAGGAAATTTAGGTTAGAAGGATTCCTTACAGACATTAAGTGAGTGCAGACTAGCTTCATGCTCTACAACATAAATAAGTATTTTAATTCCAAAAATTGTGTTATCACCAACAGACCCTCTGATCAAAACAGGTTAAAGACCCACATAGTTCATTCTGCTAAGAAACAGTAAACAGTTCCTCCCTCTTTTATTGTTTCTGTCTCAGCACAAACATCCCATCACCAACAGTGAACATGACCAAAGTTACTCCTGATTCCTTCATTACTGCACAAAGCTGAGACCTAAAGACCAGCTGCCACCAGGTACAGCACAGAGGCAGGTGGCTCTGTGTCAGACAAGCCTGATCTACTTCACCAGCCACATCAAGTCCAGAGCTGAGACTAAATAGCAGACAAGGTTTGCCTGGTGAGGCTCCCAGGTACAGCTACATCAAAATTTTTCTGGCAAATAGTTTATTTGTCAAATAGCATGATTTGTGGTCAGCCACAACCATTCCTGGAGGTGGAACAAGCTCAAGGACTTTTGATTAACAAAGTGGATTCTGAGCTGAAACAATCTCAGTTATTTTCTCCCATTTTCTATTCTGGCTAGAGTAGGAAATACAAAGCAAAATAGCACAAAAATTAAGCAACAATATGTAAAATCCCACATAGGAGATACTAGCAAAGCTAAAATTTTGGGCAATTGTACAGCTTTCTCATTTCACAGAGCACTTTATATACAATGTCAAACCTTTATCTGACTGACAAGAAAAAAACAGAAGAAATGGAACTAAAGTTTTTAAAAAGGATTTCTGGATGCTAGTATCTTTTGTGCTGAGTTATTTTGGAATTATAAATAAAATTTAGATCAAAACAGATGGTTCTGAGTCACATATAGAAGTGGTCATATTCTTTCTCCAATATCCTATTTTGTAACACACTTTCCTTTTTGGACTGCATTGGCAATATCCATTGCTGTTCCCATGTGTGCCTTCCCCAGAACCCTTTACCATCATGATTAGCTTTTCCATGATTTCCTGCTCCTCAGATATTGAGTGCATGAAAATATTAATTTGATTTCTTTTCAACTGAGCCAATCCAGCACATATAACTTGCAGGACGGAACCCTAGATTCTCACTTTTCTTGACATCAGCTACAACGCATTTTATTTATTGACTTCACATTCCCTTCTGAGTAGCTCTCCAATTAAATTATATAACTAAAATATGCAATTTGTTAGATGAGCAGAAATTGTGCAGCCCAAGAGCTGCAGAAAATGGTAGAGAGTTTCCCATTTTGTTCAAAGCAGAGACTTTTGCAGCACTACAGGACTTCTCAGGCCCTGAAATACTGGTAAGATACTTCAATTTTTAAATCCTGCCACATACCCACAAGTATGCCTGTCCAATCTCCCTTTGGTACTTGTCAAAAATTATATTCAGACGAGGCCTTATGAATATTCCACAGTTTGAGAGTGAGCTAACAGTACTCCTAACCATTTAAAGACAAATCTACAAACCCCGTTGAAGTTAAGTTAGACTGAACAATCACGAAGAAGGAAAAAAATAATAAAAATTTAATTTTCAGAGTAGTATTAGTAAGTATGTAGGAAACTTAAAATAATGTAACCATTTAGAAATTAATTTGCAACATAATAGCATGGCAGTGAAGTTAACCTCATTACTAGGAGGAAATTACATAGTAAAGTAAAAATTACTATGAGTGAAATGAACCAAAATCCTCTGAGAGAAGGTGATCCAGAAATACAAGCTCATCTTCTTGTATTCCCATTGTTCTATCTGCAACCAGGAAGTTTTATGTGACAGTACAACAAAGCATAATAACGTAGAGAGTCTCAGATGTCCACTGAGATTACAGCACGTCTTAAACTTCTTAAGTTTTCTGAATATTTACGGAAGTCAGATGAATAAACCAAAGAATAGTCCAAGATGTCATTAGGAAAGCCTCCAACACAGCAGCCTCATTGTAAATAAAATGATAAATATGTATTTTGGTCCAAGCTACCACTGCAATTTCCAATCAAATGAAGATACAGGTGTGATACATTCTCATAACTTTTCTGGGGGAAGCTGGGGACATGATTCAGTTATATTTTACAAATTCCTTGGCTGAACAATTTTCAAGAAAGGCTCTCCTTGATTTTGACATACATAACGCAATTCTCACAATGAATTAATTTATTTGAGAACAGACTAGAACTGCTCAATACCAGGTTCATAAAAAAAAACCACATGATAATCCCAAGCAATAAGAAATGTGGTAATTTTCTCACTTGAGCATATTTTATTTTTAATCTGATTTTTGTTAAACTTATGCTTACCAGGTATTCAGGGACGACACCTTTGTAAATCTCATAAAATTCTTCCACATTTGGACGCTCCATGTTGAACTAAGAAAACCAAAATGTTAGTCAGTCTGAATTAAACAACAACAGGACTATACAGACACCTCTTCTTAAACAGCAAACATTCAGAATCCTCTAAGTTTTACTAGGTGAAAGGAATGGCTTTACTACTGCAATATGAAGCTTGTCAGCAACTTATTCAGTGATGGCACAGGCAACATTGCACACAGTATCTTTTTCCACATCAAATACAAGTAGACAATGTACTGTCGGCTGATCCCACTAAGAAAGGGAATATTCTTAATTTGTGATAGGGATTTGAGTGACAGGAGAATGTCAGATCTTGAGACTTTCACCACAACTGAAGGGCAGGACTCTCGAGAACAATCTCTTTAACTGCTGAGGGTATTCAGGGTGTCAAAATCCCTTAAGTACCTTTAAAAGCATTCCCACAATTCATACTAAATATATATTCAAAAAAATTAAGGGAGGATATTAACAATAGTTTCCATCTTAGCTAGTACATTTTGTAAAGGTATCTCAAATTGCTCCAGAAGAGACAGATATAATTACCTCCCCTGCTATATATAACTATAGGGAAACTCAGATACAGGGAAGTGAAGTGTCTTGGCTCAATGTGACCAAGCAAACAGAAACACATTAGCTGATTAGTCAGATACTAAAACACAAATATCACAAGGACAATGCTCACCCCAAAACACTGCTACAGTTTGCACAAGGGTTTTATACTGCAGGAAGGAACCTGTACACTGCTATGACATACATACAGCACTGCTCCAACTTCTGTTTATCATAAAAACACACAAAAGGAAACCTACCATCTGCAAAGCTGAGATCTCAAATCCTTCCTTTAGGATGGCTTTTATAATCTTCCCAGAAAGCCCTAAAGAAAATGGAAATGGAAAATACAGTATTCAATTTCAAAAAGTAGATTTTAAAGCTGAAATGTATTATGCCAATATGCTGGTTATTCTCAAACTGAAAAAAACAGTGTTTGTGTAATGCTTGAGAGGAAGCAGAGAACAGAGTTGAGCTCATACACTCTATGTTCTGTATAAGCTTATGTGTAGATGGCTTCAAATAATTAAATTCCATGCAGATGTTGAAAAGCATTTCTACCCAAAAAGGTAATTAGTGAAGCCTTTGCTTTTCTCAGATGAACTGCAAAACACTCAGTTGCTGCAAGACCAAGATTTATATTTTTAATGAAGACCCATTGGCAATACTGATGCTTAACTAGTCATCAATTCAGAGCACCAGCTGTCTTTTTCTTTTTGCAGGTCCTACTTTAAGCCAGAAACAATGCAGGATGATAACAAATGTTGCCAATAAACTAGCACAGGAGTTCATGTCTTCTGTGGGAAAAACATATTAGTGCAAAATAACCTATTCCTTCAAAGTTTATAGCTCACAAATATGCTATTGCTAATGATACTGCTTGCTTATTCTCTCCAGAACACATCCCCAAAGACTGAATGACATTGTAAAACAAAACATGGGAACTTCAGAAAACAAGAACCACTGAATGTACCTTTTATATTTGCCTGTGCTTATAAGATCAGGCTATTTTGAAGATTATGTCAGCCAAGCACAATACTCTGTTCGAGTGAATTTCACAGAATCATTGTTTTTTATAGAACACAAATGCCTGTCCTCTAGTACAATTTGTGAGAAACTACAGATTTCTGGACATTTATCTAGAAAATAATTAATCATAGAAGAATACCCTGTAACAAATGACAACAGCAGGATGTGACTCTTGGTCATCAGATCCTTTTATTATGTAGCCTTTAAACTGCAGGATATTTAGCACTGCATAAATTTAGGAGATGAGAATAAAACAAAGCTAGTATGGAAGCTATAGTATGCTTGAGATACAGCTACAGCCTACTAATACCTGTGGCACAGGACTGGGGAGCATCCTACCACTTTAAAAGGTCAGTGGAAGCTCTGAGAAAATGAGTCTAAGGTTTGAAAGGCTTTCAAAAATTGTATTTACAAATTAAAATAAAAAAAAAAACACGTTTCTGAAGTATTTGCTATCATATTTTCACACTAAGGTTTGTGTAGAAAAGCCTTCCCTCTACAAAACACTTCAAATTTCTTCTGAAAATCTTCCAACTACTGAAGGGAATACCTGAGATTTCAGTCCATACTCAGTCCATGCAGCTCTTTGTGTTTACAGAACACAGAAATAAGGAGAAGCAAATACAATTCCTGTCCCACTATACTGCTCCACCACGATTTGGTGGAAGTTTCATTTTAACACTCCTGTGAACCCAGGGAAAAAAAAAAAACAACCCTTTTTAAGATAAAAAAATAAATAATTGCAACAGTAAAATGAAGGGACTTGGACAGGTTTGCCCAGAAAACACAAGACCACATCAGAGAGAGAACCCAGAGCTCTGGTTTCTTTTTTGTCCACCCTGCTGGAAAGGCTGAGCAGCTCAGATGATTCCATACAGGCTCCACTGAGTCAGTGAGCCTTCAGTCTTGTTTTTGGAGATGAATGGCCAGTTTGCAAAGAGATGAAGTGAATGGCTGGGAATCATTCAGGAAATGAATAAATAAATTGAATAAATAAATAAATGAATTTAATTAATTAACTAATTAAATATGTGACACAGCATAAACATTTCCTCATTCTCAGTCTTCAAAGACAACACTCTGGTCAACTGCTTCATCAGAAACCAGCAAAGATGAAGAAAGGGCACTGGTAGATAAAATGGTCACTGCCACTTGCAGGGAAAAAGGTATGAGAAAGGTAAGGGACAGGTGCTTTGCCTGACAGATGTCCATTTTACACTTTATCTGTCAAGAATGGGCTACTTGAATAGGCACTCTCAGCCAGCAAGCATCTAATTAAAATACATCAAGTTATAGGGTATTACAGAGATCTGCTTTTTACAGAACTTTTGTCTTCAGCAGTTTTACAACCTACAAGCAAAATCCATGTTTTAGAGAAGCAAAGGGGGACTCAATTCAGCTTTCTGGGCTGTTTCTCTACTGAAGTCACTAAAACCTAACTCTTCTGTAGAGAGGAGATAGTCTCCTTTAATGGTAGAAACGATAGTAGGAAGGTATTTTGCATAAAGGTCTTTAATTCAAGGTTGCTTTAATAATTGTGATAAATCTATCAAGATTTTCCTCTACACTGTATTTCCGAGTTCACTCTCACTCAGCAGAGCAGCAGAGCACTTTGTTGCTCCAAACAGATTGCCCATGTCTGCATCGCCCAAAAACCTTAACCAAAGGATTTATTCAGACCCACAAAATTCAAAGTGCCTTAAGGAAGAAGGGTCATGAGATTTCATTTATGTTTGCAAAGCAAGATGCTAGCTCCAATTCCAAGATGTGGGAATTGAGGCAGAGGAGCATAAGCAAGCTGCCAGTGGCAGCGCAGATCCACAGATCCAGTGACTTGCCCTCCCTTGTCCCAGTTTAGGCAATCCATGTATCATTTCTCTTAGGGACATCTTCCTTTCAAATTCTACCTGAACCAAAATAGAAACAAAAAGCACAAAGGCAATTCCCAAGCAACAGAAGAGTGCAAGCTCAAGGCTCAGTTTGGGATCTGTCTGAGGCTTTCAGCCAGTTGCATGACCGAACTGGGACGTACCCTCTTTTTTGGGGGCAGATAAGGCTCAGGAAAATATCAACTAATTATAGTGCCATTTCAGCAGCTTTCAACAGTTCTTTTCAACTTTAAAATCCAAATCTGTAGTGAAAAAAACAACTTTCTAAGGACCCTTCAAAAAGGGTCAGTGGATGTTTAAAATGTGATTACAGTAAGAACACAAATCAAAGCCACTGATTAGGCACCAGTTATGACGAATTTTCAGTCTCAAAGCACAAAAGAATCCCAAGCATTACTAAATACAACTTAGGGAATTTAACACTAATCCAAGCTAAAAGAGTGAAAGAAAGTGAGCACAGGCATAGATTTTATGTCTGCTGGGCAGAAATACATTACTACATACCTAGTACAGGACAGTAATTTTCCAGTATAGACAGAGATAATTTTCCAATATATTTTAATCAGGTAAAATAATAAAGTATCAAGACTTCCTCAGTTACATTAATATTATATGACTTGTTGCTTTACAACATAAAGTATTTGAAAATTGTCCTTCATTAAGAAACAGAAAGTAGCAGGGAAGACATCAGACTGAAAAATGTTACCACTGTTTGCAGAAGTACGCATTAGGATAAAATAAAACAGTTTAATGCAAGTCACTCTTAACCTAATAGCACTTTAATCAATGATCCATAGCAGCTGTGCTACTGGGACCTTTCAGTCCCAGCCCTAGGAGTAGGAATGTTACATTCTCTTCCCTTTCTTCTTGACCTGTTTCCTAATCTAACCATTCCTCTGTCAAAAGCTCATTAGGCAGGATAGCAGAATGCATTCAAAGCAAGGCAAGAACTAGATTCCTCATCTCAGCCTCCATATGTCATTTTTTTAAAATCCTTCCAATAATTAAAAATAATTCCTCTTAAACACAGGGTTTTTTTGACAAGAATACAAAAACTGCCATGACTGATCAGATTGATGACCCACCTCATCCAGTAACATATTTCTAAAAGTAACCTGTACTGGATGCTTAACATATCACTAGCTATAAGTAGAAATTTAATTTCATGTCTTTTTCTGACACTTTGAAATGTAATTTTGCTTCACAGGATAATGAAATAATCTGATTTTTTATTGCCACGTGGTAAGGTCCTATTTCAAAACTCCAGAGAATCACAATCAGGCTTGACCCCAAGCAAAGCCCTTTTTGAACTCTACAAGATGGAAAAGTGGGATTTAGAGTTGGGCCCTCCTGCAATGTATTTCAGTTGAAGTTCTTGCTAATCTTTGTTTCAGACAACACTGAAAAACACTAGGCAGTAAGTAAATAACAAATGCCCTTCTCAAAAAGTGCACTTCTCCCTATCAGCTGGTCAAACTATACCCTGAAGAACAAGGTTTCTCTCTCTCTTCTTCATTTTCTACTTAGGAATAACACAACTCTAGGCATTTTTACTATTCAGCATAAATACACCACTTCTAGACTCCCCAAAAGTTTGGTCATGGTGATAACCTATAATTATTGGTCTCCCAGACCCACTGTGTTCTGTATGGAAAGGATATACACAGTCATTTTTGCACCTGTGCTGTGGCACACCAAGGGAATGACAGAGGGTCTCCTGAATGACACACTCTGGGCCAGCAAAAGAGATGAGGACCTCAAAAGCCACCCATGTTAGCAGTGAGGAGGGAAAAGAAAAGACAAGTGGATACAGATGGGAGAGAGAGGAGCATGTGCAGAATTGCAGAGAATATTGTTCGTAGTGATGGAGTCCGGGATTTTCCATTATTCCTCATTTCTGTCTAGCTACTGTATTAAAGGGGAACCTCAAGAAGTTTGAAGGGCAGCTTTATAGACACTTATGGAGAACTTTGTCAACACTGTAGCAGTGGTGAAAACCTTTACAGAAAATATTCATTTGAAAATACTAAAAGTTAAAGGAGTGAAGACAAAGATATCACCACGGCCATCCTGGAAAATAGAAGTCCGGATGCTGCTAGCACAAGAAAAATTATGCATACAGATATTAAATCTCAGGGGGCTTTGAAACAAAAATGACCCAGTGTGTGATGCAGCTGAGAATGGGAACTGACAGCGTCAAAGAGGATGAAAAGTTCAAAGGCTTAATTCCAGCTGCAACTTTCTGAACTGCTATGAATAAGGCAAGACCACACATGCGAATGCCAGACAGGGCATTATAAGATGCCAAATGACAAAAATCCATAGGGGGAAAAAAAGGTATTCTGGGAATTCTTGCATAGGAACAGATAGGAAGAGTCACACTTAGCATTCAGATGCAAAGGCCCAT